AGGGTGACGGCGGTTGAGGGAAACACGCTCGCCCGGCGCCCCGTCACTCGCTCCAGGGAAGGTGCCATAGCTCGAAAGGTGCCATACCTACGCCATTGCCGTGCTCATTGAACAAAGGACCTATTTCATTCTCCTGTTATTTCGGTCGAACTGGAACCTCTTTCGTTCTCCCCAACATTACCTTTGGAATTAGCGACTCAAATATTCATCACAGAATCCTTCCCAAAATAGGACCTGATCTTTAGGTTGGTTTTCACTCGTCGCCGGTAGAGGGCATCTGAAAAGTGTCAGACGTTGAAATGTCAGGAACGAACGCTCTTTCGCCTTAGTCCCAAATGTTGCCGAAAAGGACATCTGTAATTCCTGAACAATGTAGGAAGACGAAAGAGTGAAAAAAAATAATTTATATAAAAAAAAAATAATAATAATAAATAAATTATGGGATAGGAATGAGAGTTTCGTCATCTGTAATTCCTGAATAATGTAGGAAGACGAAAGATTGAAAAAAAAATAATGGGATAGGAATGAGAGATTCGCAAAAAGTGACGGAGTTCGAATTCGTCCTAATCTGAGAAAAGTGGGTGAACGTCATTCTTGATGTAGGATGATTCACCGGAGATTTTTTTTCGTAATGGAGTGACAGACAAGGCAGGGGTGAAAAGGGGATTAAAAGGGGCGAGGATGGAGAACCAAGAGAAAGACGAAGGAGAAAAAATGAGGGTTTAGGAAAAATGGAATAAAGAGAAAAAGAGGGGATCATTAAGTCATTTGAAATAATGAAAGAAGAGAAAAGGAAGAGTAGACCTTTGCGGTCGAGTAGAGCAAGGATAAACGGGCGAGGAAGAGGAGGGGGAGTTGGGAGGAAATGCAGTTAAAATGGCATCTAAATACAGTGGATCATCAAGGCACAATGCCAAGTAGGTCAGAGATATAAAAGATGTTTGCGTAGTGAAGCTGCAGATTATATTAATGTGGAGGAATGGCAAGCAGGAGAGAGAGAGAGAGAGAGAGCAAGACAGACAGAGAGTGTGTGAGTGAGCAAGACAGAGAGAGAGAGAGCAGGAGCAAGGTAGAGAGCGAGAGTAAGAGAGATAAAACAAATAATAGAGAGAGAGGAGGGGGGGGGAGATGGTAAAGGTGCATTGGGAATGGGGAAGAAATGCAGATAAGATTGAGAACCGAGTCACGGGGAAGAACTGGGTCAGCCAACGTCATATTCCCGCCCTCCTCTCCCGTCGAGAACCCGCGATCCTTAGAAGATGACCTGGAGGCTGCATGAGATAGGGCATGTTGGGGTGCGGTTTTGTATCGGTCATGCACAGAAGTTTTATTTATTTATTTTTTTTTATTGTTATTATTATTATTATTATTATTATTATTATTATATATAATATATATATGTATATATTTTATATATATATATGTATATATATATATGTGTATATATATATATATATA